ATATATATACATATATATATATATATATATATTATATATTATATTTATAATATATATGTATATATATATATTGTTTATATATTTATTTATTATATATGTATCAAATATATTATATATATATAATGTAATGTATATATGTATATAATACTTGTATATATATAATATTTATGCACACACACGCACACATATATAGATATATATGTTTGTATATATATACATTCTCACACACATACACACACATATATGTGTATGAATATTACATGACTATATATATATATATATATATATATATATATATATATATATATATATATTATAATATTAATGTAAACACATGCATATACATACACACACATTCACACACATACATGTGTGTATATATATATATATATATATATATTATATATATAATATATATATATATATATATATATATATATATGTACATATATATATGTATATATATAAATATATATATATATATATATATATATATATATATATATATATATATATATATATATATATATGAATATATGTATATACACACACACACACACACACACACACACACACACACACACACACACACACACACACACACACACACACACACACACACACACACACATAAATATAATGTGTGTGTGTGTGCGTATGTATATGAACATATTTATATATATATATATATATATATATATATATATATATATATATATATATATATATATATATATATATGTATGTATGTATATGGTTATATATATGTATATATAATATATATGTATTTATAAATATATACACATTTTATATATATATATATATATATATATATATAATATATATATATAATATATATATATATAGCATAGATATATAGTTATATATATTTATTTATTTATTTATATATGTATATGTATTTATATCATTATCATCATCAGGGGGCTAATGCCGACGGGAGCACATAGTCGCATCCACCCTTTGTTTCCACCTTTTTGGGTCCCTTATGGCAAGCCAACAGGCAGGGACTCGGCCCATCTCAAGCTCCTCACAACCTCCAAGGTCGTCCCACAGGCCTCCAGCACCCAGGGTTGTCTCATGCAGAGACAACCAGGTAGGCAGGATCATCCTGTGGGAAACGAGCCAGGTGGCCGTATAGCCTGAGTTGGTGATCACAGATTATGCAGGTAACAGGTCCTGTGCCAGTCTCACGTGCAACTGTTGGTTGGAAACATGGTCCTACCAACAGTACCCCATGATCTGACCTATTACAGAAGGCATCAAGACATGACTCCAAAGCACAGGATAATGTACGGGTTTTACTACCATATTACTGGTATTATCAGGGCCTTGAAGACACGTAGCTTGGTCCTTCTGCACAGGTACCAGCATCTCCAAATACTCTTGTTGAGAGAGTTCATGACCCCTACTGCCAGGCCAATCTGTCTGCTGACTTCCTGGTTTGACAGCCCAGAGTTATGAACTACACTACCAAGGTATGTAAAGATCTCTGTGACTTCAATGTCCTCGCCGCAAGCACATACCAACCGAACAGGTTCTCCCAGCAAGTCCCCAAAGTCCTGGATCTTGGTCTTGGTCCGGGTGACCTCTAGACCCAAGGGCTTTGCTTCATTACGAAGTGCATCTAGAGCCACCACTGAGGTTTCCAAAGACTCAGATAGAATAGCAACATCATCGGCAAAGTCAAGGTCTGTAACCTTGATATTGCCCAGAGTTGCTCCACAATGACTTTGAACAGTAGCTCTGCCCTGTATCCAGTCCATGCAAGTATTGAAAAGTATTGGTGCAAGAACACAGCCTTGCCTCACTTCTGAACTAACAAGAAAGAAGCTCGACAGGCCCCCACCACACTTCACAGCACTTTCAGTACCAGTATACAGACTTGATATTAGTGCAATAATCCTTGTTGGAAATCCTCTCACTCTCAGGATCTCCCAAAGTGATTCCCAATGCACCGTATTAAACTCCTTCTTGAGGTTGGATGTAGGCTGCAAGCAGCCCACACCTGAACTCACGATGGTGCTCTACAATGACTCGAAGCGTAAGGATATGGTCTATTATGGACTTACCAGGAGTGAATCCAGATTGCTCCGGCCTCTGATGCCCCAATAGGTGGTCTCAGATACGTCTCAGAAGGATGTGGACAAGAACCTTGCCTGGTATGCTGAGCAGTGTGATGCCTCTGTGATTGCTGCAGTCCCATTGGTCCCCCTTCCCCTTCCAGAGAGGGATGACCACACCCATTAACAGGTCAGGAGGAACGGTACTGGACCGCCACTCTTCAGCTTGGAGATCACCCTCCTTAACTTTAGGGAGGGTAGATCCTCACTGATGGGTGGGTCCGGCAATGGAATCATGGCAGTACCCGCATCAGAGTTAACTGTTGGTGGGTCAACCTGGTACAACTGCTCAAAATATTCAGCCCAACGCTCCCACACTGCAACATGATCTGAGACGATCTGGCCATTTACAAAACAGACTGCTGTCACCTGTGAAGAGGGCTTGGAGTTCAGCTTTCTCAGGGCTTGGTATGCAGGACGAATGTCATTTACTAAGAAACTGCCTTCTACCTCCTCTGCAAGACTCCTAATAAACTGTTCCTTGTCCATTCTTAATAGAGACTGAGTTCTACGCACTGGAGAACGGTGCAAATCCCGATCCCCTGTCAGACGAGGCACATGGCAAGCATCTGTGGCTTCCATTGTTTCCTGTGAGATAAAATTCTGTCATATCCTCGGGCATTCACCAATTGACTCTTGGGCTGCATCAAGCATTTCACACTTGAAGGTGTCTCACAGAAGTACAGGGTCCGTCAGATTGTCGAGCGCTGTGAAACGACCAGAGATTGCCTTGGCTAACCACTATGCACACTCCTCCATCCTATCCAGATGAAACACCCTAGGGTGATCATTGGACTGCTGGGGACCCGGAAGGTAGCCACAACCAACCTATGGTCAGTACCACAGAACTTGGCATTCCTATACACCCTGCAGTTCTGGGGGATCCTCAAACGAGTGCTAATGAGTATGTGGTCGATCACCTTGATTGCATTACTGGTATCACTATACCATGTCCAACGATGTGGGTCTGGGTGCTGGTACCAGGAGCCAGAAATCCTCAATTTCTGGGACCTTGCAAAGTCCCGGAAAAGGAGGCTATTCTCGCTGCCAGTATCAGCTCCTGAACCATGAGGGCTGACAGATATCTCATAGCCAGCTTGATGACTGCGAGATACTGCATTGAAGTCACCCAGGACAATACGAATATCCCGCCGGGGACAGCTGTCTGCCACAGAATCAAGTTTGGTATAGAACATCTCTTTCACGTCGAGTTTACAAACATCGGTAGAAGCGTACACAGCAATAACAGAAGTCAAGCTTGATGCTAGCTTCAGTCTCAATACCATTATATGCTCATCGACTGGAGTAACCTCTACCACCGAGGGCCGGAACCTACTGGAGATAGTTAAGGCTACTCCCTGACCAGTAGTAGGTGTAACACTGATCGTGTTACCGCCATATCTTCTCAACCTCCGAGGGAGCAGCCATCCCAACTCTCAGCCTCCCCAGGTCCCTCAATAGCAGAGGCAACCAATCATCCTGATGCAAAGATGTTCCAAGCCCCCATCCTGACTTCCCGCCTGAGGTTCACCCTCAGTCAGTCACTCCAGGTGGATGCCACCTGTGCCACCCCCACCGACACTGCCCCACATAAAAGGGGGCGGCAGGCTGCAGGACCTGACATCCACCTGTGGGGTTCCCAAGGGCTTTACCCCACAAGTTTCATTCCAGGAAATTGATATGAATTGTTCAAATCCGAAATCAGAAGTATTGAGGTGTATTTATGAAAGATGGAATAATGCACTACTGCATTGATAAGTTGAATAAATAACTTACACTCTCTGACCAGGATTCAAACCTGGGTCATTGCAGGCAGGCAACTGCAAGACATATACTCTACCAACTGAGCTATGTGACCCAGTAAAAGGAATGGACAACTAGGAGCTATTTAGCTTCCATAGATATGACCTATCTACTCATACTTGAGTAAGGATAGAGAAGTTTTACACACACTCCCCATGAGCATTCAGTAGAAATCGATAGAACAGTCGAAATCCAAAGTCAAAAGTATTGAGGTGTATTTATGAAAGATGGAATAGTGCACTACTGTATTGATATGATAAATAAATAACTTACCCTCTCCAACCAGACTTCGAATCTGGGTCTTTGCAGGCAGGTAACTGTAAGACAGACAAGTGGGTCTTGTAGCTCAGTTGACATTTATCTTGGATCTTGGTTTTATTCCAAGGGCATTGCTTCACTACAAGGTTCTCCAAAGACTTAAATAAGGTAGCATCTTTGTAAGCACAGTCATGGTCTGTGACCTTAATATTGCAGTGTTGCTTCACATTGACTTTAGATGATAACTCTACCCATTATCTATTCATGTGAGTGTTGAAGAGTGTTGGTGTAAAAATGCAACCCATCTTCATTCCTGAAATCATTGGAAAGAAGCCAAATATGCCACACTTACCATTACTTTCAGTATCAGTAGCAGTGCTATTAATCCAAATATCTTCATAGGAATGTATCAGGATCTCCCACAATGATTGACATTGTTCTGAGTTGAATGCCTTCTTGAAGTCATTGTGGGCTGTGAGGATCTCACGATGATCTACAGTGACTGAGAGTTCAAGGATATCATCTGTTGTTTTGCAGTGAATCCAGATTGCTTGTTCTTGGGTAGTCACCAATGGACTCCTAATCTGCACCAAGCATTTTGTATTTGATAGTACTATAAGGTCTATTAGGTTGTTGAGTGTTATACCTCAGGTAGTTATTTGTTGCGAATCCCTCCCAGACATTGCTCCAGATAAAGGTGGATGGAGGCTATCAAGCCTGATATCAACATATGAGGATTCCTAAGGCTTTGCCCTGCACATCTTACACTGGGTTAGCAGCCGCTGGGCCACAGAAAAGATGGGTTTCCCCTTCTCCTCCAACCACTTCTTGGTGGTCGCCCTTTTTTATGTGAACCATAGCTTGCCTCACTAGCCATAAGGGAGGGTAATTTCCCCTCCCCCAAGCTTCTCAATTTATTAGAGTCATTGCCAATAAGTCTCTTAGGGAAGCAGGCCTCCCAATGAGTTAGTGAAGCCTAATTAGTGGATGAAGAAATATATGTGTGCTTACTCTTTCCAAGATAGACTGTAGATAATGCTAGGATTTTTTATGCATATACTGCAATATGATCTTATGCAGTAACATGTCACTATAGAAGAAAATGTCAGGATAAAATTAAATATTTTTTCAATTTTATCTCAGAACCATGTTTCTTAAGAAATTGATGAGGTATCAAGATAAAAGACATTTTTCCTTCTTTTCTCTTTTTTCTTGGACAAAAAGAAAAACATCCCTTCTTCATACTCTCCTTGTTTTTTTTTTTCAAACTTTTACCTAAATCTTAATCTCCTGCCCTCAGATTATGATGTCAAGCTCAACAGGAACAACCTTCATGCACACACCTACAAGCTGACGGGAGTCGACCTCAGAAACATCACAGAGGTAGAAGCCAAAATTAAGGAGTCAGACTTAGACTACTCACTCCCTACCCTCTTCTTAGCTGAGTGTGTTCTAGTGTACATGAGCACCAGCAAGTCTTCACAGCTCTTACAGTGGATTGCAGAAAAGTTTAAGTCTGCATTCTTCATAAATTATGAAATGGTAAAGTGAATGTTTTATGTTCTTATCTGAATAACCTAGGTGCTGACCAGTTACTTAGGGACTTTTAAGTTTAAAGTTATTGGTTATAACACCTCTGAATATCTGGGGCTTGACATTGCAGATTCAGTAGCCTCAATGCAAAGCTACCACTGTAGAGTGAATTGAAAATGAGCACATATTTTTGGATTTTATTGATATTTAGGGTAACATTGTCTTTACAATAGTTAATTTGGGATCTTCATATTGTGGTTATAGCACAATATGACCATATAGAATATGTACATATATGTAAATTACTATGCTGCACTAGGTATGATTGTATGTAATTGATGGTTAGAATTTCAGCCTCATCTCTTTACTATAAAAAATGTCCATGATATTTTTAAGTTGTTTGCACATTTGGAATAATTCTAGTTGGAGCTTGAAGATGATCTAAGAAGTCCATAACATACCCTGTACATACTGAAATACAAGATGTTAATAATCATTTCCCCATTTTGCCAGGTCAATCTTGGTGACAGATTTGGAGAAGTTATGGTAAGCAACTTGCGAAGCCGAGGTTGTGACCTGGCGGGGGCTCAAGCATGCCAGAGCACAGAAACACAGAGGCAAAGGTTAGTATGCAGTATGGCTAACAAATCTTATGCTAAATGTGTCAGTGGTTCCCTTTCACCTTCCATAGAGAGTTGAACAATGCCCCATATATTTTTAAACTTGGTAAAAATAAGTGCTACACTGCATCTGAAACCTGCAATCTAATTTGCACAACTACTTTTGAATATTGATGCTGAGTACATGCATTGTATACTGTGGATTTATTTTATCAACTCTGCTTACACATAGAGGCCACCAGAAGTGTGTGATCATCAGGGAGTCAGTTATTAGGCCTACCTAATCTCATTAATTCACCCCAACCATTGAATTTTCACAAAGAATAGTTGGTATTTCTCTGGCTATTATCATCATTATTGATAGGTTTCCCTATGCCATAATGAACCATTTGCCAAATGTCACACACAGGCAGCCACTTGAGAAAAGCATTAGAAGCATTAAGAGCACACATTTGTCCCACACACAAGGAGGCTTAAATTGTCTTTTTAGCCAAGATTTGAGAGACTGTACCTCCTCAGTAATTACTGACATAGATGAACAAATAACTTTAGCTCATGATTATTATAATATTAACAGTAGTGATAGGGTAGTGCGTCTATATATATAATATATATATATATATATATATATATATATATATATTATATATATATTATATATATATGTATGTATATAATATATATATATATATTATATATATATATATATATATATATATATATAATATATAATATATATATATATATATATATATATTATATACACATACTTCTGCTGTCAGTTGCTGTACTGAGATTTTTCTATCAAGGAAGATAGTGATAAATTTCTTGGAGTAAGTTCATAACTGCTTTATGAACGATAGCGAGAATAAGGAAAAATAAATTAAGCCAAAGGTTTGATGCTGTTAAAATGATAGAATTATGAAGGGGAGAGTGTATACTTATGATACTATATATGTAATTTTTTGGCATTTATTTAATCATAAATAGATTTAGTCCATTTTATTTATTTTCTAGATTTCTTGAAGTTGGATGGGCTGGAGCAGACTCTTATGACATGATCAACATATGGGCTCGACTCCCTCCTGAGGAAATATCTCGTGTAATGCAGATTGAGTTGCTAGATGAACAGGAACTTCTTCAAC